CAGCTTTCAACATAATGCACAGTATTTAATATATAGGCTTTCTTGAAATGAAAAGTTATCACTATGTATTTTGAATCCTCTCCTATGTTCTGCTGTGCACATGACATTTTTTTTTGTTTTTTTCTTATTTTATATTTAAGTTTACAATGTTTCTTTTTCTTTTCTTATTATGTATTTAAGTTTTAGTATTTATCTAAAATAAAAATTAAAAAAAAAAAAGAAAGATCTGTGCTGTGCCCTGGGTCTAGCTTTCTTTTCCCTAAAGAGGCTTCTGGGCTGGGCAGGTGACATTTCCTCTTGTGAGGCTCCTGCTCTGTCCCTGACTTCGGGGACAGCTTCTCAAAGCGGAGTAGGCACTCAAACCCGTTCCTTGGTGAATGGTGCCTGGGAGCTCCCCTTGGCCAGTCTGGGAGAGGGTGAACACGATGTTCACATTCCTCAGGAGCTCCACGTGGACCTGCTTCCCCTTCCAGGCTAAGACCTAATTTATTCATCAGTTTTGATTGGAGCAAGAGCATTTAGGAGCCAAGGGCCTGGATTTGGAGTCAGGGAGACCAGAATTCAAATCCTGCCTCAGATACTTAGTAACTTGTGACTCTGGGCAAGCCACTTAACCTCTGTCTGCCTGTTTCCTCACCTGTAAAATGGAGATAATAGTATCACCTATCTCTCAGGGCTGTTGTGCGAAAACACAGCTCAAACCTTGAAACGTTGTAAAAGCAGCTAGGAGGAGCAGTGCTGGAGACTGCTGGCCCTCAGGCACTGACGAGTTAGGAGACCCTGGAGAAATCATTTCACTGCTGTCTGCTTCAGTTTCCTTAACTGTAAATTGGAAATCATAATAGCACCTTCCTCCCAAAGTTGTCGTGAGGATACGTAAAATGAGATAATGTTTGTAAAGTGCTTTGTGAACCTTAAAGCACTATAGAATTGCTAGTAATAATAATAGTAGTAGTACTACTCTATATACATTTTATATAATAGTATTTACATGATTTATATTTTTATGTTTACATAATAATATATGCAAATGTATTATTTTATATGAATTATCATTTATATAAACAATAATAATAGTTTATTATGCCTGGCTCCATTCTCCAGAGGGGTTTCCTCCCTCTGTCCTTTACCACTTCCACCTGCAAGCTTTCTGTCTGTTTACCAGGCAGCTGTGTTGTAAGAGCTAAGTGAAGGGGAACACAGTTTTCCTTGAGTATTTAGAGGTCCATAGAAGAAAGGGGACAAAGTTAAGTCTTGTTAGTAATAGTTTAGATGGTTCCCGCTGAGAAGGAGAGACTGTCGTCTTTGCTGCCAGCCTCCAGTGACTCAGAGATATTATCCCATCAAATGCAACATAGCGAGGAAGGCCCCGCACTGCATCATGCAGAAGTAGTGGCCCTTGTTAGGCCCTGAGATGTCTTGTCACTTCTTCTGTCCTGTCCTCCCCTCCTCTTGTCTTCATCCCTTTATAGCTGTACGCTACATATAGGGTCCATTTCTTCACTTTATCATGTGTTTTTTGGGCCACGTTACTAACCATTGTTAAGACTGCAGTGATTTGGTGAGGAGCTGTTAGCAGTATGGAGAGGAAAGAGTGCTAAGATTGCTTCTGCCTGCCCACTCTATTCTGTTTTTCTAGGGAAGCCAGGTGGTGTTGTGGACAGAGTGCTGGGCCTGCAGTCAGGAAGACTCATCTTCCTAAGCTCAAATCTGGCCTCAGGCGCTTACTAGCTGCATGATCCTGAGCAAGTCACTTTGCCTTGTTTGCCTTAGTTTCCACATCTGTAAAATGAGCTGGAGAAGGAAATGGCAAACCACCCCAGTATCTTTGCCAAGAAAACCCCAAATGGGGTCACGGAGAGCTGGACACGACTGAAATTACCAAACAACAACAATAATACCTACAAACCCGTCCTTCAAGCTAGAGTTCCAGGCTTCTCTATGAAACCTACCCTGATCCCCCCCACCCTTTCAATCTGGACTCAGCAATTGACCTTTTGATGTCTGAGGATCAGCCTAACTCAGCTAGACAAAATTCATCACCATCAAGCATACTGTCCAGAGATACGTTATCGAGGCCGTCTGCGGAGACGTTGGAGCTTTGGGGCCCCGACTCTGGAAGGAGGACCTCTCTTGCTGCTGTATGGTCCTTCTGTTGGTGCTGGCAAGTGAGGGAGTAGGGTACAGAGCCTGATTTAGAGTGTCACCATCCACATGTAGAGCTGGCTGGCTGCTAACATTAGGAGAATCAGGACCCACTCTGAGCCAGGGTGTGATAGCAGTCCCACAGCCAAGAACTGATATCCCTTAATCAGAATAGCTCACATTTACATAGTCCTTTAAAAAAAGTTTATGAAACACTTTCCTCAAAACAACCCTGGAAGGTGGGTAATATACATGTTGTTAACCTAAGCGTTCTAGACTTCAAGCCCAAATGGCCACACAGCTGCCATATGCCAAATAATGATCAAGAAATCCAATGAGGAAGATTAGTGAGTGACCTTTTTCTACTCTAGAACTACACAAAAAGTCAGCTGGAAGCTCATGGGCAATAGGGAAGGGAGTCCTCCAGCAGAGCCAGCACCAGAGAAGGGTAACCTCCCAGCACAACCAAAGATGGACAGAGGACACATGTGGCCTGCCAGGTTCTTCGTCCCAAGCAGCAAGTCAGAATGCTGCCATGAGAAAGCCCTAGGGTGGGAACTGTGGAAGACCTAAGGACCAGCAATCCAGCAATCCTCATCGCTCAGACCAGGACAGGCCTAGGGTCTCTGAGCTTCCTAACACGCTGTCTGCAGATACCAGAGAAGGTCCTGAAGATCTTACACCTTGACACTCAGAGCCAGAGTGAGACAGCCCCTGGAGGAAAAGTTCATAAGAACCCAGGGCACCCAAGGTGTGCTTGGGCTTGAGTACTGTGCACCCCGCCTCCCCTGCCTAGAAGTTCAGCAAAAATGCAGCAGGAAGCTGAACCAAGTCAGGAACTGAAGCTGGAGAGAGGAGTAAATAAAATGCTAACTAGTATAAAAGCAGTGGAAAACCCAGAGACCCCAGAGAAGGAGAATAGCTAACAACTGCAAACAGAGACTCAAAGGAAAATTGGATTTCCTACAACATGACTCCCTAGGGTGACACTTCTCAAAGTGTGGTCTGCAGACCCTTCAGGGAGTCTGAGAGGTCAAAATGATTTTTGTTATAATACTAAGATGTTGTCATTTCTAAGCTAAGCACCGGTAGCACAAATATTAAAAATATAGACAGTACCTACCCTCAAGGAGCTTACATTCAAATATGGAGGACAAGACAAATAGGGGAGAGATGACCAAGGATTTTGTTCTGGGGAAGTGGAAAGGGGTTTGGGGGGGGAGGTGAGAGTGGAGAAGGCTGGGTGGCTAACTGGGCAGGCTGCAAAGCTGAAGCCTGGTCTGGTGTCTGAGGCCGGCCTGTATACGTTCTGGCCCAATTAGTGGGCCCAATCAGTCTGGTGGGACCAGACTGTAGGGCTAGAGCTTTAAAGACAAGTGGATTGGCTTCCCTTAGGCTTGGGGCATGAATTCTGGAAAGTCTAGGGGTATAGGCCTAGATGTCCAATCCTGTGTGGAGAGAGCTGGCTTGGGTAGAGATCGGCTAGGTGAGACTTGAGACCAAAGCTGGGTTTTCTGTGTTTAAAACACACCAAAGAAAATGGTTCTCTGGTTAGTGTTACAGCATTGGCTTGTTTACAACAGAGAGTGTTTGCAGCCATTCTGAAGGCCAGTGGGTAGTGATCAACTTAGGGAGAGCTCAAGGGTGCTCCAAATTAGGGTTAGAGATGTGGGCATCTCCTTATCTCATGTTAAGGTGCATGCATACTGCTTTGGATCTAATTCTCCTAGATGCCTCTCCCCCCCAATTTCTCTTCTTCCCCCTCTGAATCTCAGAGCTGGAGAAACTTCCAAAGGACATCTGGCCAACCTGTGTATCTTCTCTGTAGCATTCCCCAGAATGGCCATCCAGACAATCATAAAATGGCAGACTATGAAGATTCATTCAACATCAGACAAACACGTGTGAAGTGTGCATAGCCTAATACAGGAGGCTGGGAGAGATGCAAAGTTTAGATAAGACATAGCCCCTCACAGAGGTAGAGGAAAACCCAAACTTAGATAATTATCATATATCATATCACTTGGTAAGTATGTTAGAAAATTATAGAAGTGTGTAGTGGGAGGTCTGTGGGAGAAGCTGTTACTAACCCTGCCGAAGGAAGGAATCGGAGAAGGCTTTGGAGGAGGTTAATAGATAAGTAGAAATTCAGTCGATACAAGATGGGTGGGCGGGGCATTCCTGGTCTAGGGGTGGCTTGGTATGTATTCCACCTCGCTCGCTTTAAGGTGAGGAAAATAAAGCAAAGTGACTTTCCCGTGGTCCCCCAGCTAGTAAAAAGGGATGGGGAGCACATTTATTAAGCACCTACTATGTGCCAGCATTGTACTAATCACTCTGGATACAAATAAAGGCAAAACCAAGCCCATCCCTCAGGTAGCTCACCGTCTATTAGGGAAGACAACATGCAAACGACTAGATACAAACAAGTTACAGACAGATAGAGATACATTGTAGATAACAGAGGAAAGGTCTTAGCAGTAAGAGGGATCAAGAAAGTGCCCGTAGAGAGGCAGGATTTTGGCTGAAGAAAGCCCGAGAGGCCAGATGGCAGAGGGAGGAGGAGAGCGCTCCAAGCTTTGGGTCTCAAACCCTCGTCTTCTCAGGCCAAGTCTAGGGCTCTCTCCCCCAATGACATGCCGCTGGTTATCAAATCATTTCTGTCTGGGATGGGTTTGATCTCTGCACCATTTCGTCATTCTGAGGAGCAGAGAGCTCTTTGGAATTTTTAATTAGGAGTGACTGAATGTTCTAATAATATGACAGTAAGGATAAGAGCTGAAGCCAGACTGCTGATCTTTTCTGTATGTTATCAGTTATTTTTATTTTAATTCTTTTGTAACATCCTTTTTCAGATCATGCTCATCTTGGCAGCTACCGATCCAAGGACTATAAGGTGTGTAGAAAAGGTCAGAGAAGAGAGAATGAAAGCTGTGTGTCTATTCTGAGGGAGGGTGTGAATGTGTGGCCCCATCACATATGCGCATGCCATAAGAATGGCAGCCGTGGAAGGCCAGAGAGGCTCTCTGTGAAGCCATGATTTAGCTCCTGTCCTCAGGCGGGGTGCTGACAGTTGTCACAGTGACAGACGTCCCCCAGCACTTCAGGGGCTCTCTCCAGGTCCTTTGGATTCAGATGACGGGTGTCTGCCTGGGATTGGCAGCGATGATGGCGGCTCAGCAGCTCTTGCATGCTTTCTTTTTGTTCTGCCTCTGATGAAATGGAATCTTCTCAAATACAAGTGACATTGTGTTTTTTTTCATTAGGGGGAAGGGGAAAGAAAGAGAATAAGCTTTTATATAGTGCCTACTCTGTGCCAGGCACTGTGCCAAGCCCTTTACAAATATCTCGTTTGATCCTCACAGTAACCCTGCATGGTAGGTGCTATTATTATCCACATTTTATAGCTGAGGCAAATAAGGCAAACTGAGTTTAAGTGGGGCTTGTCCAGAGTTACACAGCTAGTAAATTTCTGAGGCCAAGTTTGAACTCAGGTCTTTTGGTCTTAGGCCTGGCCTGCTTCTTTACAACTGTACCACCTAGCTGTAAGCTTCTTAGCCTTCTGTTCATTCATTCATTCATTCGTTCATTCATTCATTCATTCATTCATTCATTCATTCCAGAAGTGTTTATTGATCACTCAATTCTTCTTGTTCTCATTATTATTGACCCTGCAGTATGGAAGTAAATGCTGGACCAAGCGGGCCAGAGAAGTGCTGAAGAATCACACAGCCAGGACTAGTTAGGGAAAACCTTCCCAAAGAACAACGACTTGAGCTAGGTCTTGAGAGATTGACAGTCCTCAGGTAGCCAGAGAGAAGGGGACAGTGTACCCCTAAACGTTTGGGGTTGACAATGCACATGATGTGTTCAGAGGACAGTGAGATGCCAAGTCAGCCTACAGTGGGGGATTTTGGCTGGGGAATAAAGGAACCATGATTTCCTGCCTACATGAACACATTAGGGGTTCATTGTGTTTTCCAAATCATGCCCCTTTTGTCAGGGGTACCTGGTTCTCCCAGAAATCTCAGCTCTTCCATCTTCCTTCTGCAGTGTCTGTATCTGTCTTATCACCAAGTCACATCCACTCTTCCAGGTGATCCCTCTCAGAATCATGCCCTTCCTCCTCGGCCCCATGGCCACCATCCTACCTTACCCTCCATGCTATACCCAGGTCTAGCATAAAATCATAGATCTGGAGACTTGGAAGCAGCCTTAGGTCATTCTGCTTGAAGGCCTCCGTTGATGGGGACCTCATGACCTCATTAGGTATCCCACTCCATTTGTTAGGAGGTTTTCCTTAAAGAGCCAAATTGTGTGTACTTATAATATTCTCCCATTTTCGTAGTTCTTTCTTCTGGTGTTTTTTCTGCATAGGAGCCTTCAGTCCCTGAGGACAGTTTTCTTGTTCTTCCTGAGTCTGCTCTTTGCCAAATTAAATATCTTTTGTTGTTGTTGTTGATTTTTAACATCTGTTTTTCTAATATAGCTTTATTTTGTTAAATATTTCCTAATTACATGTAAAAATTTTTACCATGTTTTTAAATTTTGAGTTTTAAATTCTTTCCCTCTCTCTCACCCCTGTCCTACCCCTCCTCCACCCTTGAGAAGGCAAGCAATATATGAGTTATACATGTGAAATCATGCAAAACATTTCCATATTAGGCATGTTGGCAAAAAAAAAAGCAAGAAACTTTTAGAGTAAAAAAATTATGCTTCAATCTGCACTCAGAGTTCATCACTTCTGTCTCTGGAGGTGGATAGCATTTTTCATCCTGAGTCCTATGGAACTGTCTTGATTTCATTGTATTGTTGAGAATAGCTAAGTCATTCACAGCTGATCATCGTACAATGTTGCTGTTACTGTGTACAGTGCTTTCCTGGTTCTGCTTACTTCACTCAGTATCAGTTCATGTAAGTCTTTCCAGTTTTTTCTGAAAGCATCCTGTTCGTCATTTCTTATAGCACAACAACATTCCATCACAATCATATAGCACATCTAGTTCCACCATTCCCCAATCAATGGGCATCCCCTCAATTTTCAGTTCTTTGCCACCACAAAAAGAGCTGCTATAAATGTGTTGGTATGTGTGGGTCCTTTTCCCTTTTCTTTGATCTATTTGGGATACAGACCTAGTAGTGCTATCAAACTAAATGTTTTGAATGCTTTCCATTGATCCATCCCTGGAAAGTATATTAGAAAACTGCAGAAAACGGTGCACTTGGAGGACTGTGGGAGACACATAGTTTCAAAGCTGTTCTCCATTGTGGCTTGTCAGTATTTCACCTAAAATGTGGCACCTAGAAATGAATTCAATTCAGTAAGCATTTAGTAAGTGCTTAAGTCTTGGTACTAAACACTGGGGATACAAAAACAAATTTAAAAAAAAACAGCAACAACAGCAGTTTGCCTTCAAGAAGCTTATATTTTACCTGAGTAGGGTGGAGGGAATGCAACATTTAAACATGGTTTGTTGAGGGAAGGAGTAACTAGGTGGATCAGAGATGCACCTGTGTGGCACGTGGAAGGAAGGTAAAGATTTCAGGACATGGGAGAGAGGAAGAAACGCCTTCAACACATGAAGGAAAGCCACTGCAAAGCCACCAAGATAGAGGATGGGGCAGGGTAGCTAAAATGGAGTGCGTGGTGGAAAATCACGTGAAATAAGTCTAGAAAAGTGTGTTTGAGCCTGTGAAAGGCCTTAGGGGCCAAGCTGAATTGGCTGTATTTTCTTCTAGAAGCTACAGGGAACCACTGAAGATTTGAAAGCAGGATCGTGACATGGCCAGACCTGTATTTTAGGGGGATGTCTAGATCTGTTCACCATACTTGAAATGTGCTCAAATCAGGGCACAAGACAGTGGAACTAACATTTCCCTCATCTTAGACACTAGGCTTCCATTGATGCAGTCATAATGTCCTATTCTCACACCTTTCTGTGGTGTTGAGGGGGCCCTGACTTCCCAAGGCAGAACAACCTGCTAGAGTAGGGGGCTGGCTGTGACCTGGAGAGAACCTCTGAGAGTGTCCACTCCAACCCCCCCCATTTTATAGAAGAAGAAGCCAAGCCCCATAGAGGGGCAGTGATGAGGAAGGCTAAGGCCGATAAGCTGGGCTTTTCCAAGCCAGGGTGGATCGAAGAGGAAGGAAAAAGAAAAGTACTGCTCAGGTAGAGGGGATGCTCATGGACCAGTAAAACAGTGGGCATGTTATTTAATCCTGTTAAAATGATGCAGCAGGATAATATAAGTGCAATATCAGTGCAAGCTATCATTCTACTTTTGAGGATAATGTGCTGAAATGTTAGCTAAGATGTTGTTACACTTTGGTGGCTTTGGAATGATTTGAATGACTAGACCCAAAGAGTGAGGTATCAATGAATTAGTGTCATTTGGGAGGGAGGTTCTGCAGAGGAGTGATCCAAGGATCAGTCTTTAGACTGATCTGGGTCATGTTGCCATTCACCTCGTTAGGAGCGTAAATGGCGTACTGTTATCAAGTTTGAGATGACACAAAACTTATAAACAGTGGCTAACTTACTGGGTGACAGAATCTGATCTCTCACAAGTTCTCAGTAGACTAGTATGATGGCCCAAATTGAATAGGGAAAAATGGATGCAATTTGTACTTACACTGGTACAAGATGAGGGCCAGCCTACAGCTCATCTGAAAAGTAGTTGGTGGTTGGAGTGGACACAAGGTCAGCAGGAATAAGCAAGAAGATGGGGCAGTCTCAGACAGAGGGCCCACAATAAGGGAGATGGTAAGGTCCCATTCAGACCACATTGGGAGTGTTGTGTTCCATCCTGGGCCCTGCAGACTGTAGCTTGTCTAGAGGAAAGTTCTGAAGAGGGTAAGGGTCTGAAAACTGTCAGATGTGGATTGGTTTAAAGAATTAGGAAGCCAGGATAAGAGAGGTCTTTGGGAGGACATGATGACTGTCTTTAAGTATTTGAAGGCCTGATGTGTGGATTTGTTCTGCATGGCCCAAGAGGTCAAAATGAAGAATATTGGTTGGAAGAACAGAAAAGCAGATTCAGGCTTGATCTAAGAACAAAACTGTTCTAAAAGCAAGAGCTAACCAAAAATGGAATCAATGACCTCAGGGAGTACAGAGGAAGTAGTGAGTTCTCCCTCACTGGAGCTTTTCCACCAAGTCTGAATAGCCCCTTCCCAGGATCAGTCAGTCAGTCAGTCACTGAGCTTCTCTTGGGCACGTTCCTTGCACCAGGCCCTTGGCTAGGTGCTGGTGAGAGAGATGCTTCCTGTTCAGAAGCAAGGGTTGAACTAAATGGTGCCTGAGGTCTCCTCCAATTCTGAGATCTGGGGATGCAAAGGCAGAGGGAGCAGAGCAGTAGTGAGGCATTGTAGGGAGGAGGCATTGTCTGAGGAGAGGCGGGTCCCCTGGCGGGGTTTCCTGCTTGGCTGCTCCAGGGAGATTCAGGGCTTGGCCACTGAGATGCCATCCCCATAACCTGAGTTACTGTAGTGTGCTCCAGTTTGCCCCCAGCTGTCCCTGCATTAGCCCTGGGACAGAAGGGGGAACAAATACTAATCTCTCCATTTCATAGATAAAGAAGTTGAGGCTTAGAGAGGGATCACCTAGCCTGTGTGTATCAGAACCAGATTCCAATGAAGCTCCAGGCTTGTTCATAACATCCAAGGTATTTTCTTAAGGAGCTGAATAGATTCATTGGTTTATTTCAGTAGAGAACTATAGGTAAGTATGTAAAGAGCTATGTGCAACCCCACCCCACCTCTTCATCCCAATTTGATGAAAATGGATTCATAGACATGAGTTGAGATATTGGGGTGGGGGACACTCCTTCATAGGTACTCCTGAAACTGCACCCTTGTGCTCAGTGCCATTAGGGTGATGGCCTTTTCCATTGTGG